TGGGGTATCGGTGCGAAAACATGAATTGCACAAATCAGACACCATACGTAACAAACGGCACAGAAAATTTAGCTGAAGTATAAAGAAATTATGGTGGCTGATTTTGAATACTTTTGTGCGACAAGTTGCCGCTAGCGACAGCAAGACAAAGCACCAAACGGCACGTTATCGGACTTTCGTCTTGTCGCCCTGTCGCTTACGATGTATGCCACACGGCGCGTTGTCGAGCGGCTTGTTGTCGCGATGTCACATTTTCGTTCGGCTTATATCGAAGGATTGGCTTTAGGTATATGTATGAGATAAACGACATCGCGATAACGCACCGCACGACAACGCGCCGTTTGGTGCGCTTTGCTAGTGACAGGACGACAAGACGAAAACGCGATAATGAAATAGGTTGTGTTGTCGCTATCGTCAACGCAACGCGCAAATTGTACCAAATCAGCCACCATGAGAAATAGTGTACAAACTTGCAAATATGCCATTCTGCCGGAGTGAGACACTCAAGGAATTTTGTAACTTTACACGTTTACACATCACACTACAAATTTGCTTTTTGTTGTAAATATTCCGTGATAAACATACATTGCACTTGAAAAAAAAACTGTTTTATTATTAACCTTTTACCACATGAGCATATTGTGAATAATGGCCGTTTTCATTGAAAAGCCTCCTGTTACAAGTTCATACTGCTATAAAACTAAGAAAAATGCTTCAATACTGATGAAACAAATGTTGACTGAACCATAACCTCTGTAACAGCATGCTCAATCTTAATTTTTCTGTTACAATGGCAACCTGGGGACGTCTCAAAATTGCGAAAAATCACTATTTATTATATTGTTTTTTCCATCAAATCTGATTTCAAAGTGCTGTAACTTCTCAATGCATTGAGGTAGAGTAAAAAGCTAAAGGATAACGAAAATACAGAATATAAACGCGTGTATATGCACCTTCCTAGAGTGAAAATACCTTATTGTCTTCTATATAGTTGTGTTGGAATTATCAAAGACGTCGCATGCTTTCGAATTATTTATTTCTTAAATTATAGCTATAATGTTATTTTATGACAATGTCTGTCGTGTTTTCAGTTCATATTCGAGGATTCAGGGGGCGCTTCAATGCTCAGTTTAAGGGATTTCTCCTGCAAGCCCGAACAAAGACTCCCGACGGTCAACTTCGATATATAGGAGAAAAAACAGATATATGAACGGTCAGGTAAGGCTGTTAGTGGAAGTTGTGTACCTATATTTATTATTCATATTCTTATCATCATCATCATTTTACCGATATAATTACAGAAATACTTCACATTGGTTGTTAGACCCCTATCGGTTTACCGGAGGGGACTTTAGGTTTACCCTCCGTCCGTCCGTCTGTCTGTCTGTATGTCTGTCTGTCTGTCAGTCCGTCCGTCAACAAAACTTGATCCCGAGATAACGCAAAAAATACTGAAAATACTTTTATGAATCTAGAGATATGGATAAATGGCAGTATAGAGATCGATTATTCACGTCTTTTTCTTTTCTTCCTTTGTTGAAAATTCGTGTTGCTATGGCAACAAAAAGACTAAAAATATGTCAAATTATACACATAAACTGGATCCAGTGATAACGCAAAAAGTACCGGAAATATTTTTATGAAACTTAAAATATGGATAGATGGCAGTCTGGAGATGATGCATGTATTTTTCTTTTCTTCCTATTTTGACTACATATTGGTTGCCATGGCAACAAATAGGCTTAAACATGGCAAATATAACAATACATTGATTAGTCAAAAAGAGCTGAATTTTTTTTATGAAACTTAAAATATGGATAGATGGTAGTATGGAAATTTTACACATCATTTTAATCTTGACTATAGGAAGTATATTGAGAGTTGTCATACTTAACAAACATCGGCAACCTCGTCAAGATTTCTGATTCTAGTTTTTCGGCTTTTTCACTTTAAGTTCCTAATTTCTTAAGGTATTAATTTCAAACTTCAAATATAACTTTCTGGTCATCAACCACATCATATGTGACAAGGTTTACAACTATAGCACACAAATTATCAGAATTGCCTCCCTTGAACTTGCAATTTTCATAAAAAAAGTTTTTTTTAACTTCTTTATTTCTTAATGTATCTTCTTTATACTTCATATATATATATATATATATATATATATATATATATATATATATATATATATATATATATATATATATATATATATATATATATATATATATATATATATATATATATATATATATATGATTTGTAAGAAGGTTAAATACTCTAGCAAGACTATTTCCAGAATTATGTCCCCCTTGAACTTAGATTTTTTTCGAGAAATTGGTATACTCTAACTTCTTCATTACTTACAGGATTTACTTCAAATCCCCACATTATAATAATATGACAAGGTTTATAAATCTAGTATCCATATTTCCAGAATTATCTTCTCCTTAAACTTTGATTTTTTCTTTATTCATTCTTGTAACTTCCTTTTACTTCAAATTCAAAATAAACATTCATTATGAACAGCTTTATTACTAATTGTTCTTTGTTAACTCTCACATCATGTATGACGTCTTGTTCTTTATTTCAAGAGTTATCTCCTCTTTAAGAATTTTGCTTTTAAAAATGTTATATTTTGGTAACAGAGATGTTTAAAAAAATAACTTTAGAAGGGTATCAGTCCGTCTGTCTGTCTGTTCATAAAAAACGGGAATTCCTGTGATCACTTCCAACAAATTTACCTATAATAGAGAAAAATTGAAACATAGGTGAATGGCCAATGGCCCTTTAGAATGTTGCTGGGGTTCTAATCGGTAGGGGACTTATGGATTCCTTGCAATACTATGATAATTGCTTGTTTTTAAAGTTTCATAGTTAGTTTGTTTTTGTCTTTACTTTCTTTCCTTTTTTTCTTTGTTGGTTGTTTCAATGTTTTGTTTTTAATATTTATTTTCGGTACAGGCTAAAGACATTCTATGTTATGATATTCTATGTTAGAAAAGAGTCATATTATTTCAGATTAATTTTAACCGGCCAAATGTACGTGCATATATGTCCTCGTGACAAGGAGAGTTATATAATTACCATAACATTTTGGTGCACTCAATTTATAACAGAAATTTAATTTATATATCAAATCGCTTAAATATTAATTCATTCTAAAAAAAGATAAGAAATATTTTGAAAAAAAATATTATTCCAGTATGAAATTTCTTCTTCAGTCTTTTCCAGCCATCGCAACCAGATGGTACATCAGCGCCACCAGGGCATCTTCCGGTATCTTCTTGTTGCTGACGTCATTATGTACATTGTTATATTTTCTTATGTGATACTATTAACTTTCGAATCATGTGCTAATTAAACGTGTTCTTTTTGTGTCAAATATCTACAAAGCATAATTTTGAGCAATAGATAACGAAAGGACGCCTGAAAAGTGTGGTTACCAACAACTTCCGGATGACGGCGTTCTTTTTAACTTCTGCTGCAATGAATGATTCATATTATCACTTGAGATTGGAAAAATCATGTGATTCCCAAAGTCAGAGATGTTAACCTAATTACGAATATGAATCCAAAATAACTGAGTATTGAATATCAATTAACTAATTAATCTGATTTAAAAGATATTTTACCTTAAGCGGTATTTTCACGGAGGCATATCACATATATACATTTGTACATGTATATATTATATAACTTGATATTTCATGAAATTGTTTGCTGAAGGGGATATCTTTTTGCCCACTTATGTAGTACATTGTAATTAAATCTTTTTGAAAAAAAATAATCTCTAGAAAAAAATCAACAATAACCGTTAAGTTTAATACATTCACTTATGTGTGTGTGTGTGTGTGTGTGTGTGTGTGTGTGTGTGTGTGTGTGTGTGTGTGTGTGAGTGAGTGAGTGAGTGAGTGAGTGAGTGAGTGAGTGAGTGAGTGAGTGAGTGAGTGAGTGTGTGTGTGTGTGAGTGAGTGAGTGTGTGAGTGAGTGTGTGAGTGAGTGAGTGAGTGAGTGAGTGAGTGAGTGAGTGAGTGAGTGAGTGAGTGAGTGAGTGAGTGAGTGAGTGAGTGAGTGAGTGAGTGATTTGGTGAGTGAGTAAATGAGTGAGTGAGTGTAAATGTATAGAAGAATATGAACAAACGGAGAAACATCTCTGTACCCTAATGAACTTTCATAATTGATCTCGTTACCAATATTGAGTACTTGACATTCGTGACAGCGGTTGCCACATTTTCTAAAATGATTTAATATTTTCATCCAAGAGTTTTTTATATCTTTTATTGGAAACTGAATTTATTTTACATTCGTATGTCTGTTATTGCTTGAATGATTCATATTTTCATACGTGATTTTGTATGGGTTGTTAACGTCTGTTTTAGACTTTACGCTTAATCTAATAATACATAGACTCTTGAGCCATCAAGCGAACTTAAACTGAGCTTAAATTTAGCAACTTAGTAAATGTATTATATAACTTCCGCATATTTTCCTTGATCCAAATCATATAGTCAAATAAAACCAGTTAGAAGAATATGCTTTTGTATTTTAATGGAAGGTATATCATAATTGCCTTTTGCGGCTCTGATCCAGCAAAATCTACTAGATACAATGCACTTTAGTAATTCATGCTAATCTGACGATACAAATTTAACTTGGTAATCAAGCTGAACTTCCGGAAATAATGTTCATTGTAGACAGTAAAATATTTCTTACATTTTCAACCTTCCTATGGAGGATCGATAATTACTGTTAACCGTGACCATTACCTGTGTTTACTGTTAAATTACTTACCTTCTCTGGAAGTTTGATAACCACGGCCAATATTATTTTGGCTTTTTTTCGTACGTTGTAATAAATCATACAAACACACATACCCCTCTTCCTTTATTGAATAAGGAATATATTTTTACTGGTTAACTACTGTTGTTCAAGATTATAATTCAAGTATGAAATATGAATTATAACTGGTGCTCGTAAGTGAAATACATGTTTAATTGGATCTTACAGGTACTGGCTTATAGGTTTTCTATCGTTTTACATAAATATTTTATTAAAATAATTTGATAAGATATATCATCTAAACATATGTGTGTGTTTCAAATATCTTTTTCACATTTTTACATACATTTAATGGTGTGTAGACGGTCTGCTGAAATTTCCATTTGCTTATGATTGATGTTCTTATTGCGCTATCAAAATTGTTCGTCCGACCGCCATAGAAACAATTGTTCATTATTTTTGTGAAAAATATACCATATTATATTAAATTATTGCAATTAATAATAATATTTTAAGTATTATATAAAAATAAGCATTGTAATCTACCGAAAGCAAAATAGAAGAAAATTCAGTTAAAACACTAAAATTTATACATTCTGGACAAACGTTAAAATATAAATAAGTCAACGTTTTCTTGTCAACGTTGTATTCTTTAATATGTTTATTTCAATTTGAATATACAGAACTAATCTGTCTGAACTAGAACTCCGGAACATGATGTCCAATAGTTTGTGTCACTGTGAAAAAAAGTTGGCCGCTATTAGGTCGATATATCACCTTCACCAAAACTTTGTTGCCTGACTTTACTGAGACTATTGTAGTTAACTTGTAGCAGGATGCATGACCATGATAGTTGTCCTGGTATATTGCCACATCCACATTAACACCATCAACGACCAATCCATAATCTGATCGCTTACCTTGATAAATACATAACTGAACAGTAAACAGATAAATGCCTCCAAGTGGAACAGTAAATACTCCAGTATAAGTATTGTAACTCTCGCCAAGGTTAAGGAGAATGTCAGTGAATACAATGGTATCGCCATCTGTAGGACTGATATTTTTCACGTTCTTCGCATGAAAGCAATATTTGGTGACACAACTTTATCTGAAATTAACGTATACATGTAAAACACATACGTCAATATAACAGTTTTTACAATTAAGTACGGTATTAGATTTCAATGCAGTACTAGTACTTTTATTTCCGCAGTCATTAAATTCCAGTTCAATAAGTACTCAATAATTTGCCATGGTTTTCGTAAAGAAATATTGTTAAGTGATAAAATAAAGGTAATATTTTAATATCATGTATTTATAAAAAAAATCTGATTCTTAAAAAATGGATTTGCTGAATAAAATTTCTTGATCAGTGCTAATAGTTTTAACTACGAACTAGAAAAGTAACGAAATATCAACAGTGACCCCAATAACGGCGTTTATATCTGAAAGAAAATTGCAGCGGCGTTATCTCATTGTTCTAATATATGATGGGTAATCTGAATTTTTTACTTTCGTGGGCATGAAATTCCGTGTTTTCGTCATTAAAGACATTTCCGTGTGTTTTTAAATTTGTAGGATTCTGTTCTGCCAAATGATTATAAAAAAAAATAATGTAATACAAAAATACCTTAAGCTACAGTTTTAAATGAAATATTGATGAAACAAAATGCGTATATTCGCTTTCAATATTTTCAATTTTAAAGTACCTCATTACTGCAGTGAAACATATTATCTGTATTTCATTGATTTCTTGTCAGAAAATTTTCTTTTTAATTACAATACAAAATACTAAATGATATATTCTTTTGTAAGGCGTAAACAAGAGAAAAGTATGTAATAAACAGAATTTCCACGTTTTTCTATAACAACGGGATTTGTCCTCCTTTTGTGCTATGAAAATTACAATATTTCAGTCGTGGTCGCCGCCATTCATGAAACATTTCTCAAACGATTCGATGAAAATAGATCCTTTTTTATAGAAAAAAACTTCCGTCTCTGCTACACTCGTGAACACCAGATGTAAAATTTCCACGAGTGATGTAGCCACGAGTGAAAATATAGATCTTGTGTTCACGACCGAAATATAATTTGATCTTACATGCAATGGAAACAAATTTTCTATTAACTTCATGCTTTAAGGTATTTAATAAATCACGTTTACTGATTTTTACTGCGTGTAAACAAATATGACGTCACATTGTTCTTGTTGGAATGTAATTCAGTACTTTTTTAGATTTTTAAAATGATACATGCAGTTATTCATGTGTATGCTTCCCGTTTTCCTCTTAATAAGGTATTTTCTTTTCATCCGTATTCAGATATACTCCAGCTACAGTGAAGCTTATATTATATACCGGTATATTCACTGTGAAGTTATCAAAATATAATTCATCTGTTCACTAAAGTGCATGTTATACTACAATAAATTTTATACAAATATGATAATTGATGCTTATTCAATTATTTAAACCAATGACTTATGTATTTTCTTACAAATAAGAATTTATGTACAATATTTCCGTTCTTTTAAATTAAGGGTTTTGTTAAATTGAAATTAATCATTTTTGAGTAAGGCAATCATAATAAGACAAATTACCTTTAAGGTCTTGCACTGCTTGCATATTTTTGTCCAGCTCGCTCTTTGCTTTCTCTTGCAATGTGATAAGGTTTGCACTGTTTTCTTGCATCTCTTCTATTTCACCTTTCAATGTGGTTGTATCCTCCTTAAGTTTGGCTAATACCCCGGTAACTCTAGCTTCTATATCATCTATGTGTTTCTTCATATTTTCAACAAGAATTTCTGTCCTGATCATTTTTTCTAACAGTTTTTCCTCATAGTGAAATTTGGAGCAGTGTGGCTCCGAGGAGCATGCAACAATCACAGTTAGTATTATTAAATATGTGTTCATGATGACAACTAAATAATACTGAATCGACTTGCTTCTCAGCACAGTATCTTAGTTATAAACAATTTCAGTTTGAGCCCGGATTTAGATTTAAAAAAAAAAATACGTGTGGTTTTAGAAAGCCTATCATTTACTTTAATTAAGAATGTTTACGGTTGCCAAAGTGTTTATGTCAATCTACTAAGCTAAATTATACGAACGGGTTAACAATTTTGGCAATTTACACTTCGGTTATATTTGTTCAGACAAAATGGTTTTGATTGTTTTCCTTCGTTATTGATATCGATTTCAAAAGGCAAATGCTGGAGTTTTTGCTGCGATCGCAGTAAATCATTCATTTAATGGCTTGGTTTTCATGAAATTAATGCTTTGATATTGAAATGGACATTATAACACTGTCACATAAAATACATGAAAAGTACGGATACCAGATAGACAACCGGAATTCATGAGAATAATTTCTGAACTAAAGAATATCCTTAAAACACTTAAATCTTGTAACTTTAATTTAACTGATACGTATGTTTGATGTAGGATTATTTATATAATGTATTCTATATTCGTGTCTTTTCAATGTCACCACAAATTGATGGATATAAGGCTATACATAAGATAATAAAATAAACCAAAACATGCATATTTATTTTCAGAATAACAACAAAACAACTTACAGTGTCATTTGATAAACACATCGTGTGTGCATAATACATAATTTTACACAAACAAGAAAATGTCACTAGCTGATTTACTAAATAGTGTTTATACGTGTCAATCATAATAAAACAGTAAGAGTCAACTTAAATTAAGATATATATAAAAGATCTCATTGCTTATCTTTATCTTGATATTGTATGACATTATTCACATGAGACTCACGAGTTGTTAACACGTAGTTGCAAGTTCCAATCTTTGACAAATCTTTTGTATATTATTCATAAGGGAGTTTTCGTTATTTCTTTTAATTATTTGAAACATGAGTTGATAAATCTACCTTATTTTAAATTCCATAAATTATTAATTTTGATAAATATACATATAAAACTTTTACATTTCATTTAATCAATATGTACGACTTACATAGAAGTTCTCATAAATAACACATAATTGTTAAGTTTTGCAAAATATAATCAAATTCATACAAAGAAAAAAACCACTAAAACATCGGACACAAAATCTTCAATTTGGATGTAACTGAAAGTCTAACACCTTGTCACTGAGGCTAGTAAAGCAAGTGATATGCTGGTTATTCTTAGTTATACGTCTCAGGCAAACCTTTCTAAACAATAACATGCTTTCGGTATTATGCTTTGGTGGGATTTAGTAACACAGGTAAATTCCCTTTTTAAGATTTACTTATAGATGACAACGCCAGATGAGCAGGTTGAATACGTAGATAGATATTACTCGGTTTAGTTTAAACATATTTATTCTCAGAATATGTACATAATAACATTTGAATTATATACACATACAAAATTTAACAATATTCAATGAAGAGGATTAGAACGAAAGACTAGGTCTTATAGAATTCTTCTCCTTAACGTGTGGCCATATATCAATGAAAAAAGGGGAGCGTAGACCTAGTGGTTAAGGTGTCTGCCTCTCAACCCAGGGATCATGGGATCGAACCATAATCGGGTCACGACGATGTTTCTTCATTTGACATCAGTACTAGTTTGTATCAGGAAGGGGACTCGAACGTGATTAACATCAGTTGCAAGAGCTTGTTTCGTCAACGAGCACAAATAATAAATATGTTTAAAAAAGCTGAGAAAAGAACCACATCAACCGTTGAACTTCACGCATTAAAGACAAAACACTTGTGTGTGTGTGCTATATTATGTTAGCGTTTAAATATTTGTAAATACGCGGTTGTATATGGTCGAAAAACACTTCACAACATATGTTTATAATTTATAATTAAACTGGCATTTATTATTATCATTAGACTGATTTTTTATGGTTAAATAAATCTCTAACATACAAATACCTTTCAACCTAAAATTTAATATCAAGTGTTGATGCATTTAAGATTTTATAACAAGTGCAAGAACAACTAGCTGTGTTTAAAAAAATGAATTATGTGCATGTTCCTTTGAGTGAGTGAGTGAGTGAGTGAGTGAGTGAGTGAGTGAGTGAGTGAGTGAGTAAGTGAGTGAGTGTCAGTGGCGCACGTACGTGTTTGTGTGAGTGAGTCAGTGGGTGATTTTGCTGAAACATCTCTGTATCAAAATGAACTTTCATAATTTATTTTGAAACCAACATTGAGTATTTGATATTCGGGACAGCATCTCTAAAAAGAAGTCCAGAAAAAGAAAAATATAACATGCATTTGAGGCTTTAGTATTTCAATAGAACGAATAATAGTCTTATGGGATTCTGGCCCAGCAAAATTCATTATAAGCTGACAACACAATTTTAACTTTCGTTATCAAGCTGAATATCCGGAAATAATGTTCATGCTAGACAGTAAAATATTTCTTACATTTTTCAACTTTCCTATGGAGGATTAATGATATTTTATATTACTTATCTTCTCTTTAAGATAGATAAACACGGCCAATTTATTTTTTTCGCACGCTGTAACAAACCATACATACAAAAATATTCCTACCCCATTTCCACCATTGAACCAGGAATATATTTCTAACGTTTTATTACAAATTAAAATGAAAGTAGAAAATGGAGGAGCAGGAAACAATATTTTAATGATTTTTGAAAATGTAACAACTGGTCCTCATGAGTGGCATATAAATGACTACTGATGTTCAGGATCATAACTGGTACTTCATAGTGAAATATGAATAATAACTGATGTTAACACGTGAAAAACATGTACAATTGGATCTTACAGGTAAATACTAATAGGTTTTCTTTGATTTAAATACAATTATCTTATCAAAACTATTTGATATGATTATAATTACATGTAAACATAAGATTGATAAAATGTTTGTGTGTTTGCAATATCTTTTTTCACATTTTATATACTTCGGTCTGCTAAAATTTCCATTTGTTTATGAATGATGTATTATTGTGCAGTCAAAATTGTTCATTATTTTATTGTAAAAATATATCACATTATTGCAATTATAATATAGAAAATGTACTTAGAAGTATTTTTAAAAAACAAGCACTGTTATTGGAAAAGGATGAATATAAAATATAATCAATTAAAACACTCTGAGTAATACAATCCAAACGTTAAAATATAATCAAGTAAATGTTATACTTCTTTGTATGTATACTTTAATTTGAACATACTGAATCAATATGTATGAATGAGAACTCCGGAGAATGATGTCCAATAGCTTGTGTCACTGTGAAGTAAAATTTGGCCGCTTCCAGATCGATATATCACCTTTACCCAAACTTTGTTCCCTGACTTTACTGAGATTGTTGTAGTTAACTTGTGGCAGGAAGCTCCATTATTGTTGTGTCGATATCTTGCTTTATCTATATAAACACCATCAATAATTAATCCATAATCAAATGGTTGACTCTTATAAATACATAACTGAACAGTAAACAGATAAATGCCTCCAAGTGGAACAGTAAATACTCCAGTATCAGTATTGTAACTCTCGCCAAGATTAAGGAGAATATCAGTGAATACAATGGTATCACCAGCCACGGGATTTCTATTTTTCACGTTCTTCGCATGAAATGCAATATTTGGTGACACAACTTTATCTGAAATAAGCGAATACAAGTAAAAAAAACGATACTTTAATGAAACAGTTTTCACAAAAACCGAATAGAGACAGTTAACATATTGTCAAGTATGACATCAAGTATGACATCAAGTATGTAGTTACAACAAAAAAATTATCTTGTGTTTCTGGAAAGGTATTATCTCGTTATAATTGCAAAGTATTTCGCAACAACCAGAAAATTATCTTGTAGTTATGAAATCTTATCTCATTATCATGAATGAAAATGCATTATAAAATAAAATACTTGATTTTGACGCAGTACCAGTACTTTTATTTTGGAATACAATATGTTCCAGAACCAATACCAGTACTCATTCATTTGCCACGATGTTCGTATAGAAACAATGTCACACGAAATATAACGTACGTATAACATTATATATTTACAGTTTTTATATTGTACATTATCAATAAGATACACTTTTCTGAGAAAAAAAATATTTGCCTGGAAATATATTTTTTTAAAGTGTTTTTCGTCTTTATTGCGAACTGGTAGTGAAACGAAATAACAACCATGAACTCAACCACGGCGTTTATATTTGACAATTTCAGCTACATTAATTTATTTTTCTTACACATGAAGTATACTGCGAATTCACTTGTCTTCGTATGTATGAAATTTCGTGATTTCGTCATGAAAGAATGTTTCGTGTTTTTTAATTTAACTTCGTACATTGTCTGTTTTTGCCAGGAAGTAAAATGCAGATAAGATATTAAACAAAAATATATAACAGCCAACGAAATAAATTTTGCTTGATCTAAAACTTATTTGAAAATCACGAAAATCAGTACAGCACGAATAATAAAGATTTTGCAGTAGTATGTGAGTTTTTCCATAGTCTACCATTCCGTACTTTGATTTTCATTACAAGGCAGTAAATGTTTATTTGTTTGTTTTTCATGTAAGATCGAAATTTGTTATTTCCTTAAACATGAAATATTGCGAATTATTCAATTTGCACAAGAAATATGGTGCTTTAAAAACTATATAGAGGATATTTGTATGTTTGTGTGTAAGATGAAATTTTATTTCATGAGTGGGCTTTAAAAACAGTATTCTCACAAGATGAAATAAAATTACATCTTACACAACAAACAGACAAATTTTCTTTTTATTTTATGCTTTAAAACAAGTTGAAACGAAATTTCCATAATTTTAACGTTAATATTAAAATCTGTTTCCCCCATTGAGAGCCCCATTTAGAGGGAATTTCTCATTAAAACAAGAAGTCTTGAGCTAGAAAATAAGTCCGCCAATCAAGGTTAAATGACGGTGATATTTATTCATTTTATTAAAAAAATATGAACGATCGCTTGTTTTAATAATAAAAACAAACAATTCTTGTAGGAGAAAAAGTCCAACCATCCATCCATATTTCTGTTACTTACTGCGAATTTATATTAGACCTGGCTTTGTAAAATGTAAGCGGCAGCCATTTTTTTAAAGTTGTGTATTTCATGGAGGAAAATAATTGTGTAAGATTCAGAAGGATATAATTTGGATTTGTTAGTCATACACCTTTTTAAAAGAAAGAAAACTTATTTGAGGATTGTAACAGACAAAAAATAAGTGTTGACAGAAGTGAAAACATTCAGAAAAGGAGCTAGGAAAATGGAAAACTTGGAAGCTTGCTAAGGCTTTATAAGGAACGCTGGGTTATTTTACTTATTTTACGAGTGATGGCTGTCAATGCTTTTCAATTTTTCATAAAGCATACGGCAGTTATTGCTCGTAGGATACTTTAATATGCCCAAATGTCATCAAGAGCAGTTTAGCATGGGGAAGGAATGTATTTTTCAGACTGTAAAAACGAAACAAAAAAATTTAAAGACGAAATTTTGTGATTGGAATTTGAAGGAATAGAAGTAAGTTTTGCTCTCTTTATTACTTTTGACATTTAAGTTATTTATCTATTTCAGATTTGCTATTTTTTTCACAGCCTGATATTGTCAGAATTGTCAGTAAACATAAAATTGAGGTACCACATGGGGAAAATCTTTAAAAAAGTAGTTTCGTCATTTAAAAAAGTGAAATTATATTTTGATAATTTTCACTGTGAAATTATCAAATATAATTTTCACAGATAAATCAGTAATCCACTGAAAAGCATAAAATAAATATATATATTAGCAAATATGAAAACAAAGATGAAAGTGGGCGGAGTCATTTTCCTGTGACAATCCGGAACTCTAGGTTTTTTAATTAAATAAGAAATTATGTGGTTATCTTTCTCAATACAGTTAAAAATGGTGATAAATTGTGTGCTTAACTGCGTGATGCATCTATACATAATCAATGTACATGTATTACCTGTTACTGGACAATTGCATCTGCGATGAAAATGGGTGTTTTCGTAACAAATTATATTTTCTTCTCTTTTTTGAATTGAAATTGTTTTCGTAACAAATTATATTTTCTTCTCTTTTTTGAATTGAAATAAAGTAGGAAGGTTATAATTTTATGAAATTTATCTTGTTTCGTGAAAATACGAGGGGTGTTCGGGAAGTTTAAGGACTTTTTCTGTATTTTTTTCCTCAATGATGCGTTTTTATCCATATTTCACAAAATGTAATTTAAATATGTGCTCAATATTTAGTACAACGCTCACTAACAAGAATAGACAACTGTTTCTATAGGAACCGCATAACGCATACCCTGAGCACTCCGATTTTATCGAAATTAAGTTAATGGTACCGATATATTTAATTGATTATAATGTTCTTAAATTACAATGGATAACGTCACGAAAACGCACGAGCGTTAAATTCAACGTCAACGTGATTTCCTGAAAATTCTACTCGTAAATCGTTACAATTGTTTGAATAACAACGATTTTAACATCACTGGTGCTTACACAAATCAAGAGAAAAATGACGTCAATAGGTGACGTTGAAGTCAGGGTAATCACCAAGTTTTGTGTAGGAATAAAAAAGAGACCAACGTAGACGTATAAAATGATTCAAGCATCTAGTATAACAAAACATGCTGTAGATCGCTAGTTTTTAAATCAGCCTCCTGGGATTCCAGACGCTCGTGCATCCACCCTATAGCCGGGACCTTGCGCCGATGGATTTCCGAGTTTTTCCGGAAATCAAAGCACAGCTGCGTGGTCGACGCTTCTTATTCCAGGTTGGAATTACAAATTGAAACCCAGAGAATAGTTTCGGCATTCGACAACATCTGGTACGAGGACACGTACGACATAGAAAATGTATCGCTGTGAATGGAGATCACGTCCAGAAGTGAGTCGATATGACTATCGGGGAAATTTGACGTTGACATATTTTGCACTGACGTGACGTTAGCGTGCTCCGGGTATGCTTCGGTGTATGTTTTGTTTTATTTGTAATTTACTTTTTGTTTGATGTATTTCATTGTAATTTTTACAGCTGGTTGTAAAAGAAATATTTTTATGGTGTTTTTCTTGTTTTTCAATTCCTATTATTTATCAAACTACAGCAAAAGTCCTTAAACTTCCCGAACACCCCTCGTATACTCCACATTTCACTCAAACGGAAAAAAATATCCTCAAAATATTCATAAATTAAATGCAGACTTTAATGTTTTGTATTTCCATTGTAATACTTTTTTTTTACTGCATTGAAACATAATTCCGTGTTTTCACAGATGTCTTACCAGATAACTTTTTTTTTTAATGAGCGCACACACACAATTAAAGAAGGGGCTTTTGTAAGGTCAAAAACGAAAAAAGGTGGATAATAAACAGAAATTTCAAGGTGTTCTATTAATACAGGATTTATTTTCACCTTGTGATACAAAAGTATCATTTTCAGTCGTGGTTTCAAAATTGATAGGAGGGGTTTTTGAATTTTAAAGGTTAAGGTTAAAAATGGGGGAAAAGCAGATAATAAACGGAAACTTCAGGGGTTTTTTTCTATATATACTGGATTTATTTCCACCTTGTGATATAAAAATATCATGTTTCAATCGTGCCTTTCGCCACTAGTGAAATATTTATCTTATACCACTTGATGTAAATAGATCCTTAATTCATAGAAAAAAAACTTTTAAAGCCTTTATACATTTTACTCGTGAAGACCAGATGTAATATTTTCATCGTAGCCACGACTGAAAATATGGGTCTGGTGTTTACGAGTGAAATATAATTTGATTTTTCAGATAAAAGAAACAAATTTTATTTATTTCATGTTTTTAAGGGTTACTGATTTTTGCCGCTTAACAACATGAGCTCTATTTTATGGTGTCAACAAAACATGACGTCACATTGTTCTTGTTGAAAAATAATTCTGTAAAATTTTACCAATTTTTGTTTTGTTTCTTAAATGCAGATTAATGTGTGTTTCCTATCACTTTTATCAAGAGATATTCTATTCATCCGCAATTGAAAATTATATTTTTTTAATTTCACTTTGAAATTCCAAAATATATAGAGGATATTTGTTTGATTGTGTGTAAGATGGTATTTTATTTCATCGAGTTGGCTTTAAAAACAGTATTCTCACAAGTGGCGTAGCCAAGAGTGAGAATCCTTTTATATAGTTCACGAGATTAAATAAAATTACATCTTACACAACAAACACATTTTCTTTTTATTTTATGCTTAAAAACAAGTAAAAACGAAATTTCCTTAATATTTACATTAATATTAAAATGTTTTTCCCACTGGTGGCCAGACCTGGGGCTGATTACATTGATCAGTAATTGATTTAATTACAAAAACTTTCAGATTTTATTGTAATTGATTAACATTGATTACTCACACTTGCCTCTGTAATCAATTAAATTACAATTATTTTAAGAGAGTAATTGATTGATAATTGATTACATTCAATGTAGAATCCCTACTTAAGACCACCCCTGAATTAAGACCACCCCTTTAATAAAACTATTTTTTACAATGTTCTTCCTGACAACGGTTAAATGATCCTGAATTAAGAACAACTGCTTATCCACTTTTATGACCACCTGATTCAGTCCAACAGGGCTTCAACTAAGTTTCAAAATTTGGAAGTCAGAGACTGCAAAATCTCTGGACCCACTGTTGAATGTCATGCTATATATGTTAAGAGGGAAAAACATTAACTTTTGGAAGTTTCAAGCCAAAAAGCAAGGAGTAAATGACTCCCAAACTTCCATTAACGGAAGCCCTGGTCCAAATTCTTTGCTTTATTTTTAATTTGACCCAGCTATTGAGACCACTGATATTAAAGTCAACACCTATCTCGATATTAAATTTGTTGTTATGATCTGCTAGAATGTTATATGGTTCAGAGATTTGGGGGGTATATAACTATAAAGAAGTGGACAAATTACATATCAGATTTTGTAAGCATGTTCTAGGTGTAAAACAACAAACCCCTAACTATGCGGTACTGGGAGAACTGGGTAGATTACCGTTATCTGTTACCTGTAAAGAACGATCTTTAAAATTTTGGCTAAAAATTATGAAAAATGTTTCTTCTCCCATTTATGTTATGTAAAGAGATCTTATTGACCACAATATCAATAGCTGCTGGGCTTCTCGTATACATTCTATTAATGATCATCATTGATTTACTCATATACGATTTAACTTTGATGACAGTTGTAAATATCTACCATTGTTTAAGAATCATTTACGCGATCAGGTTTTACAAGATTGGTCAGCGTCAATACGATCTATGCCTAAACTTGAATATCATTGTAATTTCAAAATGAGTTTAAATTTGAAAACTATCTTAATGTAATTGAAAATGACAATCTTAGAACCTGTTTAGCTCGTTTTAGATTAAACTCACACCATTTAGAAATTGAAACAGGTCGTTATAGTGGCATAGTTAGAGAAAACCGATTGTGTAAACTGTGCAATCAAAATGTAATTGAAAATGAATATCGTTTAATGTTTTGGAGTAGTAAATAAGAAATATTAGAATACAATATCATTGTTATGTACCTTGGCCTAGTAAGAATATTTTAATAGTTATATGTCAACTAAGAACAAAAAAAATATGTAATATTGCTAAATACATTAAAGATGCTTTTACGTTAAGAAACAAAACCCTGGAAAATATTAGTTTCTTAAATGTTTGAAATATTAATTTTTGTAATACTTTGTATGATGTTTGTATGCTTTTGTATATATTATACAATATGTCTGCCTGCCATTATATTATGTTTATTCTAAATATGGCCAAAAACATTTTACATGTCGATAGCCAATAAATTTTGAAACTTTTCTTGCTAAAATGCATGACACTTAATGTCAGGTGTGAAAAACTGTTATTATTGGGCCATTGTATGAAATAAGATGAGAAGGTTAATTTTAGAGTGGTTTTCTGTTGCTTTCAGCAAATTTATTCTGTGAATAATTAAGTTTTATTTGATAGGTGATTTATGTACATCATATTACAATTGATATTGAAATCTGACCAGAGAATTGTATGTTAAATTTCTTCAAAAATATCCTTTCCTCTCATCAAATATCATAGCATACTTTTATAATGTCTTTAATATTGTATTTGTAGCAGCTACTAGCTTAAAATGACTGAAATAGATCATGGTCATAAGTATGTAAGCAATGATGAGAATATTCACAATTAAGACCACCCCACAATCTAGACCACTTTGGTCCAGCCCAGATGATGGTCTTTATAAAGGGCTTTTACTTTATAAATGTAATACAAAAGATAAACTGCATCATGTGAAATAAAGGCATCCTTTGCATTAAAATAGTTTCCTGTTAAATCTGAAAGTAATCAATGTCAATCAAATTGTAATCATAAATACTGACTGAATTTCAGCTGTAATTGATTAATTACGATTAATGTAATCAATTTTGGACAAGGTAATCAATTACATGATGATTACAGTGTAATCATGTAATCAATTAAAAAATCAATGATTACAATTAATGATTACCCCAGGTCTGCTGGTGGCCTCATTTCAGTCGAATTGCTCATAAAATACAAAAAGTCTTGGGCTGAGAAATAAGTTCGACAATCACCGTTAAATGGCAGTGATATTATTCATTTGATCAACCAAATATGAATGATCGCTTGTTTTAATGCTAAAAACAAATAATTGTAGTAGAAGAAAAAGTCACATTATCCGACCTTGTCAGAATCGTCAGTAAGAATAAAATTGAGGTACCACTTGGGAAAATCTTAAAAAAGTAGTTTCGTCATTGAAAAGTGTGAAAATATGAAGTAAAACAATCATAATAAGACAGATTACCTTTAAGGTCTTGCACTGCTTGCATGCTTTTGTCTAACTCGCTCTTTGCTTTCTCTTGCAATGTGATTAGGTTTGCCTCACTGTTTTCTTGCAACGCCTCTATTTCCCCTTTCCATGTGGCTGTATCTTCGTTAAGTTTTGCTAATGCCCCGGTAACTCTAGTTGCTATGTCATCCATTTGTTTCTTTATGTTTTCAACAATGATTTCTGTTCTGATCATCTTTTCAAGCAATTTTTCCTCATAGTGATATATAGAGCAGTGTGGCTCCGATGAGCATGCAATAATAACAGTTAGTATTATTAAATATGTTTTCATGATGGCAACGTGAAACAACTGAATCGACTTCCTTCTTATCACAGTATTTTGTGCATTAAACAATCTTGATTTGGATACAGTTTAAATCAGAAATATGAAGCGATGTTTGTGGTCTTAGTGTGTTTATCGTTTTACTTTGATTAACATCTTGTTTAAATATGGATTTCAATTTTGAAACGCATGGATGCATTTAATGTGTAAAATGTTCTCTTTATTCTACAGGAGCAGATTTACATTTTTGAAATTTATATCTTAGTAACAAATCTTGTCGTTATCATCAATTTCATCGATTAACAGATCTACAATTAATACGACATTTAGTGTCACTTTGTGTCAGTTAAAATGCAATTCATTGCTCTGTTATCAAACATTGTCACATTACATACCAGATATTTACCGAGTTCATTAGAATTATTGTTGAACTAGAAAAAATACTTCAGACGCACGCTGAGATCTTGTAAATTTTATTTTAAAAATCAAACTTGATGGAAAATCGTTTTGATAAGTAATTCAAATTTTTTTTGATTTCAGGACAAATTGAATTATAGATTATAGATAAAATCATGAATACATCAATATTTGTTTGAAAAATTATAATAAATAAACGAAAAGCCTTTAAGAAAGTCATTTTGTGTGATTATAATATTTTATGTTAAATGATTTTTTGAGAAGTCTTCACAAACTCAACAATATTTTGTACAGTACAAGTCACTAAACCAAAATTATAAATGTCGTGTGTTTCAAAACAGCGAAAAAAATATAAATGACTTATTTTAAAAAGAAATGCATCAGGGGTTATTTTTCTTTTGATTATGTTAAAATGGTACAGCAATCAGCACAGCAAATTACTGATTGATATACATGTATTTTAACATCAAAGTAAATTTATTAAAAAACAAAGTAAAATTTAAAACTCAAAATGACGGGATTTTAATGAATAACCTCTAAATGCCAATTGGTACATAAATACAATTTTAATATATCCCTGGCATTGCCATTGACTGACGGACGAACGAACGAACAACAAGAGTCAAAACAACCTAAGTATTTTCTCGACCAATAAATTGACGAGGAACCGGGGTGAAGCAAATCGAAAATTATTTTAAACTTAAGGTGCAGCTACAACTGATACTGCCCGTGAGGCCAATTTTATGTGTTGAAGTAGTAGTCTAGTAGACAGTATTTAACTGTTCTATAACTGTCCCGTTTACAATTGACATACCGGAAACATGAAAAGTATACCGTGTAACAAAACACACATATAACTGCTTAACTTTTCAAAATATTTACGGTGGATATATATTTTGTGAATAAAATATAAAATACAAAGTATTGCAACTTGAACACGCCTGAAATGTTTTAAAAACAAAAATGAATACAAACAAATAGGAACCTGCATATTAACTTCAAATGTTATTGTGGATAAAGAAAATGAAAAGGTATCTAAAGCTTACCCATTTGCCTGATATCTAAAGGGTAGTTAAATTGTGTTATTTTAATATATAATATCAAATAATAGTTCATTGTTATTATATGCAAACACAAAAACCATTTTATCTGCCCTTTATGTAGATCAAATATTTTGTGTACTGTATGTTTGTATAAAAGTAAGATTGTATCCTCTTTTAAACCAGATACCGGTATATTTTATGTAAAAGGTCATTTTTGTTGTTCAAAGAACATGTTTCTTATACAATTCAAGTATGAACCAGAGTTATTTTAATTAACATTTCCATCAATATATTCTATGTATGAATTAGATACTTTATTCTTCTGGAACACAAGTTAACCTGTACTCATATCGTATACAATTAAACCATTGTTTCATGTTGGGTATAAACAATGCATAATATGTTTAATGCTAAATAAAGTTTATGTTTTGTTAATATGCACCTTATTCTCACATATAAAGGTTTGTGTCACAGCTTTTGTCGTCCCCCGTTAATACATATGAACAACAACACGCTTCATGAGACTGAAAGCATTTACTTGTGATCCATATGTACAGGCATTACTCAATTCCAGGTAAAAAAATCTCAAAGACATTCTTAGTAATTATAACCACATACTTCACTAAATGAAGAAATTATAAAAATCAAAAGGAGAATAAATAAAGATAAATAGAAAGCACTGGTACTGTAACCAATGAGGCATAAACGTATTAACGACTGAATGATATTTATCTCTTTGCTTACTTTATTCCTATTTAATAGTAAAACTTAAAACTTTTTCATGAAACACAAACATGAATTATACATATTACGAAATATCTTTCTAGCATTAGGGACTATTTGTGAGTTAATAGATTAGATATTTACCCCCCATGACTGTTAATTCTAATCTAAGTTTGACAATAGCAGCCAAATTGAAAATTCTTTTGGTGAATAAATCATGCACGTCTCTGAAACTCACACTTATCGTTCTTTGATAGTTCTAAAGTCACATTAATAACACTATTTATATCGAGCATCACGAAAACCCATACTTTAAATTTTGAAATACACACTACGATATCATTTATATATAATTAATACAAATAAGCTTGAATTAGCTTGTGCTATACAATTTATCATTTAAGAAATAATATCGGTCTTAGCGCATTTTATCGGCTATTTAACATCGGTTTAGGAATTGACCACGAAAGCCGTAGGCCTGAGTGGTTAATTTTTTCGCAGTAAAACGACTAAACCGGTGTAAAATAGCTAATAAACAACACTCAGACCGATATTATTTCGATTCTAACAAGATAAAATAAGGAATATCACTTATGTTATTTTTCCAAGGGGGATTGACTTGCAGTGCCGATTTTCGTATAACGCTGTTCGATTCCGCACCCTAATGTTGCTAAGATAAAGAAGTTATTAAACAAAAGAGATAATAAGAAAAAAATATTTTATCAAGTCTTCAACAACAAAAAACTTATGCATTAGAATGGATTGCATTGTGTTTACATCAGTGCCCCATTTATCATTCTTGTATGTTTGAAATGACGATGAGTTTTATTCTTAGGATGACGTCATTACGCTGCCTACGGATTGGCGACGTTTTGTGAAAATATTTATTAACTGATATGGATCATATCTGTGGTGTAGGTGTATATAACATGTTATTTCGGTATTGTATGAAAATTAAAAAATATAAGAACTGAGTGTATAAATAAAAATGCTTTATGATTGTTGCTTTTAAAGGCTTTGTAAACTATATTATCGAGGGAGAAAACATAACAACCGCATATACAAGTAGCCCCTAACCAGTGTTTATTGGCAGTCTTTTTCATCTTTGTCTATAGTCATGATAGTGACAAAATCACGAGGAGTGTTAGAATTATCCTTAATATGTTCATTTCAGATTGACCATGGTCAAAGTTCATTATAATAAAGACATATATGAATAAATGGACCTAGTTCTTATTTAATAATACCGGTATATTGGCTGTGTAATACAACTTAAAGAAAGTCCTTGCATCCTGGAATGACATAATGATAAGTGGAAATCTACTGAAATCCTTAAGTATAAACAGTTTAAGCAATAAGTACTCCAGAGAAAGTGTTGTAAAGGTCATTGCCAACATGCATTATATCGTAATCCCACGAGGAGGTCTTGGAAGCATACACATTATCACCTTGTTGTAAGGGAGTCAACATATCTACAGTCTGACACGACAAATAATATGGGAAGAAACGTGCCCAGCTATATAAATTCTCACCTTTGCGAATTGACAAGTCAACATAATTTCCTACAAGACACATCTGTAATACGAAATAATAAGTTCCTGTAACTTGAGCAATAAAAACCCCAGTGATGTTATCATACGTATTTCCGTTGTTCACTGGCGTGTTTGTGAATATGAATTTCTCCCCTCCTTCTAGATATGCCTTTAAAGGCTCTTTAGATCGAAAGGAAACGTCTTTGGATTTCCATGAACCTGGTGTTAAAAGTATTTAATATTAAGAAACAATCTTAAATTTTCGAACAAAGGTTTTTTTTTAATATTTAAAAAATGATGATTGATATTTTTTATACATGATACATTTATGGACTTGAATATAACAAGAAAAAGTCATGAAAATGCAACGGAGTTAGTCTGTTCATAGTATGATAATAGTTAAGAGTCAAATAAAGCTAGTGAACGATAGTTTAGTGGTAAAAGTTTCTTCCTTTAAACCCAGAGTTTTTGGGTTCGAGGTCTTCTATGATCACGACTTCGTGTTTTCATAAATCCTCCACACTTGTTAGTTCCAGGCAGCGGACTCTACGGTGTTTCAAATAAGCTTCAAACTTTTATATGAAATGAGCTAAAATAGATATGTTTAACATTATTAAGTAACTAGACCTGGTAACTACCTACTACTGGTTATTGACATTAATCAAAATAATGTGCGTAGGTAGCACAAGGAACATATTCTTAATTATATAAACTTATGAAGAATTTTACGTGAAATCATAAAGCAAAACCTATCATGACTTTTGCCTCCGTTCAGCACTTTACATTTATGAACCTTTAGTCTAATATCCGTTCTTTCATCTTTTAGTTTATGAATCATTTCCCCAACCTTTCTCTCTGCTTCTTTCAAAATTTATTTTCCTTTGGAATTCTTCTCTTTAGTCCGAAGTAATGTTGCAGCCAGTCGAATTCTTTACTTTTCAAATCTTGGAGACTTTTTTCCACTTTATTTCTCACTTTAATCATTTCTTGCTTCACTGTCTTAGCTAAATGTTCAAGTTGTGTCACTGTCTCTATCAAATCCTCCTCTTGATTTGCAAAGGAACAGTCACAGACAAATAAAACAAGCAAAATTGTTATACGAAACACCATTTTTGATTTTAAAATATCCAGGGATACAAGTCTAAACAATAAAAAATATCTTTGGATACATACAATGTATCAATAAATATGTAGATATTATTTTGCTGTCAAAAAATAGTATTTTTACTTGTATTCCTTTGTGTACGGGTACTTTTCTATCATCCTTGAAAAATAAAACATTAAAATTACGTATCTATTACATGTCAACTTTAAAATGAAGAATTTTGCAAATCTTGTTTCAGCATAATTCCAACTTTGTAAATAGATACGCAGCTGTATATACGTATCGTTATATAAAACGTCGACAGGATTTTTTTCTTATTTTCTTCTTAAAAAGTTTAAGTTTACGGATAATGTTTTATCCCCCCTAAAATTGAATTTCATTTTGTTTATATTTATTTATAAACTAAATATATATATGCAGAACTTAAGTCGTAAAGTTCAAAACGTGAAGTCGCGAAGCTGAATTTCATGAAGTTGATTTTGTAAAAGGCAGTTTAGTTAGTTGCCGATGAATCGGCAAGAAATTAGAAACATTGTTCCGCTTGAATGCACATTATCAACTAAGGAATGTGAAAAGAATACAGAAGTATTAGTGTTTTATCATTATGTCCATATTGCGCACAAAATTGGCATTGTACTATTGCCTACCAATAATTGATCAGTTTTCAACATTGAAAATTGATTAAAATTCTACTATATACTGTCATGATATTTTGAATGAACTACCAGTTGATATACAAAATGCCCCTTCGTTATCTTCTTTAAAGTGTCTTTTGAATAGAAACATTAAAAAGTATCCGAAATATTTCTATACAGGTATCAGAAAATGGCAAATATACCATGCTCGTCTTCGAACAGAGTGTAGTTCTCTTAAAAACCATCTTTTCAGAAAATATACTGTAACACACCTCAATGCCATTGTGGACTTCCAGAAACTAACCATCATTTTTCTTTGAATGCAAACAATACATTACTATCACAGACAGCCTTTTCCACACACTTTCAAATTACTGTTATATAACTCTCCATACACTACTTAACGGCGATACAAACATAAGTGACGACATCAACATCAGTATATTTCAGGTAGTTCAAATATATATCCGAGATAGCAAACGATTTTCATAGTCTATGCTACATCTACTATTTCAAGTTATGAAAGTCTAAAAGTGAATACTAGTACATTTATTAACACGACAATTATTGCATTATATCTAATAAGTCCCTTTTTTCTACTCCTTTCAGATAGAGCAGTTACTATATGTTATTAATAATTGTTTAATATTTCAAACATTTTTAAAACCCGTCTTATTTATAGTAATACCCCGATTTTAGGAAAATGCTTTTATAAGCATTTAATGCTTTCGGATCTGATGCTTTTCAGCACTGTATTGTGTTATTCTTTATTGTATGATAATTTTGTTTGTTCAAAATGTTCGGAATAAAATAAGTTCACACCATGATAATTTGCAAGCCTTAACCAACAGCTTGCTTAATACCTCCGCCAGCAATATAAAGCCAGGAAAGTCTGCATGTCCGTTATTTTTAATTGAAATTACTTACAATTATAATTACCCTTCCCAATTCAAAGCTGTGCTAATGCCTTTCACAAATTCAACAGATTAATTAAGGGGTCTGAAAGAAAGAAAACTATCAGTCGGACCGTAAACTCTTCCGATCCATATGGTTAAAAGTATGACAATCTCACTAAGGATCCAAGTCCAAGACTCCTTAATAAGTCTTATATTCCGAACTGTTTTGAACATTCTTTTTTCTCCATCTTTGGGTAAATTACATACCACATTATTCGAACATATCATTTTAGCTAGTATGAAATACTAGTATAACTTAAAAAATTTCAGTCTAGTGCACTTAATTTTATTTCAGACTTAATATTAATATTGTATAAAATGATACTCAAATGATATGTCTATCGGCCAGATTTGGTACAATTTTTTTGTATATTCGGATTTCTTCCATTTTATTGTATAAATTAGCACTGAGAGATGTAACGAAATATGTATCGTGTTAATCCGTTTGGCAATTAAAGTTACATTTGATACTATAATGTCATTCGTCGACAGTTCATATTGTAATTCAAAAAACGAGAACAGGGTGAAAAAGACGTGAAGATCGATCTTATAATGAAAAACCAAGGTTATGTACCTTTAGTTACAAATACATTTCTGAAAGATAAAAGAGTAAGAAACTATGATATATTTATTTATTTACATAATAAGTCCAATTGCCTATTTAAAAACATAATAATGTATGAAACCGCTGAATGGTTATTTATGTTCGTATAAAAGAATGTGACCACAAGAGTGTAGAAAATCAATCAAGGCGGTGTTGTCAAACTAAATGCTTTACTGATATTTTTAAATATCTGCGTACAGTCGAACGATACAACTATACTCGTACCTGTGAATAAGATCGAATGACAGAAAATTATACAACAATGCTATATATAGTTCAAGTACAAAGAGTACGATACTGTGTATTATGCAGGCAAAACTACAATTAAAATATTTAAGACACAAATATTTTATAATGTTAGATATGTATATCGAGTTATCTTATCATTGCACCTGAAAAGAAGTTTGAGTTTAACACATTATCCAATCCACGATCACCTTTAGAATACAAATGCGTTACTTGTACCACATCTCCCTTTTCCAGGTTCGTTATTCCTTCGAAATTGTAGCATGCGTTATTTCCAGGAGACAGTGAAGTTATTGCGATGGTATTTTCACCGTTTACAAATATTCCAGCCTCAATGCGATAATGAAACTTGATATAAACTTGGACAGTAAACAGATATGTGCCTTTTCTTGGTGTTGTGAATATCCCTGTAGTTGAGTTGTAGCCTTCACCAATATTGTATTCTATGTTAGAGAAAACGATGGTTTCCTTCTGAGTGTTTTCTGTGTCTTCTCCGAAAGATGTCTTTATTAACTTAGACGCTCTAAACACAACGCCAAAATCTGCAAAGAAAATGACTTATTCAGTGTACATTGTACTTCTTATGTAACTCGGTTAGGAACGTAGGTTTACAGATGCAATCATAAAGCTATGTTGAATGTAATGGAATATCAATAAACAGGTTAAAATAGTTTAGAAATATCATATACATGTAACTCACTGACAAATCTGCTGTTCAACACATTAAAATAAAGCAAAATAAGAAATGATGGCTATTTACAAATCAATAAACAAAAACGGAAACATTAGCTTAAAGTTAAAGTAAAGATATTTTCTGTTTAAACTTTTATGTGTATCCTTTCCAGAAGGTTAAAGTAAAGTCTGTCTCTATCTCTAAAAATATAAACACACAAACGCACGCACACACAGACACAACAAACGACTTGTAAAAGTAATTGTGAATATACGTGTATACCTTCAAATTTCAAAGCTGAGTTTAAATCTTGATCAACATCTTCTGTCATTTGATCCGTCGTCGTATCTTTTTGGTCTTGTTGTTTTTTACCTTCTTGTTCTCCAGCTTCAATTTCTTTTGGCTCTTGCAGTAGTTTAAAAAGCTTTCTTCGCTCTCTTTTCAAATAATGCTTACTAAATCTATCTTTTATATCTTGAAACTGGATTTCCTTAAATATGTTGTTTAAGTTGGTAAACATCTGCTCCAGAGATTTTTTGTTTTCGTCTAAGTCAGTCTCTGTCATTTCAGCATTAGACTCTATAGCCTGTAAATCCTCTTTCAGTGCATTTATTCGACGCTGGACATTAAGCATCCGATCTTCAAAATCATCATGGTGATCTTCCATTCTAATGCAGTGACAATAAAACAACAACAATGCTAAAATCTTCATGATATCCATTCTCAATAGATATTGCTTAAAAATAGATGTAAATATGGCGACAATATATAAAAATAAATATCAGATATAGAGTACAGAAAATGAAAATATACTTAAGATTATTTTCACTACACAGTATATAAAATGTAATACTTTAAGCATATTATGTTTTTAAAAAGTAAGCTTGATTTCATGGTAGACTCTCATCGATTGAAACCGAATATGACAGAACACCTGTTTGCTAAAATATCTATGACAAATAAAAAGAAATAAAAGTCATATGAACCATGGTACGGTATCACATAGTTATCTTTTATATTTTTTTTCAATGACAGTTTATAAATTGTTACATTAAGAGATACTATACCAAACTTAAAAACATTTATCACATACCCGTGCCGCTTGTGCGACTCCATAAAAATGGTATTGTACGACCGTGCATATATTTATACAATTATAAGAGATCCACTAACGTAGAGACCCACTAACGTAAAGATCCACTAAATGTTAGCGTATCATAATAGACGTGTCAAAGAAAAAATATTCTTTTTCACTTTAAATAGTCTATTGAATATGTGATAAATAGAATATTATGCTCGTGTATGTTTATTCATAAATTTATTGAACTCGTTGAATGGAGTAAAATATACTGCGGAAGATAACTACATTGTATAGTACACATGTCTCTCAATATCACAACAAATAAAACGTGAAAAATACTGAATAACATTCAATTTTTCTTTTCAAATATAGTTAATAACTATTAAACATAAAATCTGTAAGACTTTCGTTAATAATTTTATCTTCGTAACTCATTTATTAAAACATTTTCAAATAATAAAAGAAAGTAAGAAAAGAAATTAATTGTGTCACAGTTTTGGTCGTCACCGGTAACCCATAAAATTACAACAACAACTGAAAATGGATATTGTTGTGCTTGAAACAAGTGAGGCATGAACGAATTAATGACTGAATGATATTGCTTACCCTTACCCTTTTCAATAATTAAATAAAAAAAAACCTTTTATGAAACACAAACATGAAATATCTTTCTAGCATGTATAACATTTTTTTAAATACATACGTATATGATTTGTCTGATTAAAACTGTTAATAGCTTTGAAGTGTTCACCATTATCAATGTTTCAAAAGCATCCTAGATGACAATATAGGTATCCCAGTTGAATTAAAAATGTCAGTCATATTCTGGTTCAACTGTTTTTATTGTTTAATCAAATATACTTTTGATAACAAAGTCAAATTTACTTTATTATATCAAACGGCACGAACACTCTAACTTTAAAATTGAAATACATACTACGATATCATTTAAATTTGTATGCATGTATAATTAATACAAATTAGCTTGTATTAGTATAATCCGGTTTATTGGCTGTGTAATACAACGTACAACGTGAGGGAAGTCCTTGTATCCCGGAATGACATAATGATAATTTGGAACTTTAGAATAGTTCAAGCAATAAGTACTCCAGAGAAAGTGTTGTAAAGATCATTGCCAACATGCATTATATCGTAATCCCACGAGGATGTCTTGGAAGCATACACTTCATCGCCTTTTTGTAAGGGAGTCAACATATCTACTGTCTGACACGACAAATAATATGGGAAGAAACGTGCCCAGCTATATAAATTCTCGCCTTTGCGAATTGACAAATCAACATAATTTCCTCCAAGACAGAGCTGTAATACGAAATAGTAAGTTCCGGTAACTGGAGCAATAAAAACCCCAGTGATGTTATCATACGTATTTCCGTTGTTCACAGGCGTGTTTGTAAATATGAATTTCTCACCACCTTCTAGATATGTCTTTAAAGGCTCTTTAGATCGAAAGGAAACGTCTTTGGATTTCGATGAACCTGATGTTAAAAAGTCAGAGTAAATATTAAGAAACTATCTGAAATTTACCATCAAAAGGTTTTATTTTAATATTAAAAAATGATGTTTGATTTATTTTATACATTATACATTTATGGACTTGAATATCAGAAGATTTTGTTTTGTTTGTTTTGGGTGTCACACCGACACTGTATAGGTCATTTGGCGACGTTTCAGCTTTACTGGTGGAGGAAGACCTCTGGTGCCCCTCCGTGCATTATTTCAGGCACGAACGGGCACCTGAGTAGAACCATCGACGTTCCGTAAGCTAGCTAGATGGCTTCCTTACATGAAGGAATCCAAAGTCCCTGTCGGGATTCGAACCCACAGCGGTGAGGGGCAAGTGGTTTGAGAATATAAGAAGAAAATATATGAAAATGCAACGGAGCTAGTCTGTTCATAGTATGATAATAGTTAACAGCCAAATAAAGCTAGTAAACGATGGTTTTGTGGTAAAAGTTTCTTCCAGGGTTCATTGGTTCGAGGTCTTCTATGATCAGGACTTCATTTCTTCATAAATCCTCCTTACAGGTTAGTTCCAGGTAGCGAAATCTACGGTGCTTCCAATAAGCTTCAAGCTTTTATATGAAATGAGCTAAAATAAATATGTTTAAACTTTATTTTGTAACTAGACCTGGTAACTACATTGGCACTGGTTATTGACATTAATCAAAATGATGTGCGTAGGTCGCACAAGGAACATATTCTTAATTTTATAAATTCATGAAGAATTTTACGTACAATCATTAAACAAAACCTACCATGACTGATGTCTCCGTTTAGCACTTTATATTTATGAACTTTTAGTCTAATATCCGTTCTGTCATCTTTTAGTTTATGAATCATTTCCCCAACCTTTCTCTCTGCTTCTTTCAAAACTTTATTTTCCTTTGGAATTCTTCTCTTTAGTCCAAAGTAATGTTGCAGCCAGTCAAATTCTTTACTTTTCAAATCTTGAAGATTGTTTTCCACTTTATTTCTGACTTTAATCATTTCTTGCTTTACTGTCTTAGCTAAATGTTCAAGTTGTGTCACTGTTTCAACCAAATCCGCCTTTTGATTTGCAAAGGAGCAGTCACAGACACATAAAACAAGCAAAATTGTTATACAAAACACCATTTTAAATTTTAACAAATCCAGGGATACAAGTCTAAATGATAAAAAAATATTTTGATAAATATCAATTAATATTAAGATGTTATTATGCTGTTTTAACTTGTATTACTTTGTGTAAGGGTACTTTTCTATCGTCCGTGAAAATTAAAACATTAAAGTTAGGTATCTATTTCATGTCAACTTTAAATTATAGGGTATTTTGTAAATCTTGTTTCAGCACAGCTGATCAATATACCTACTTTGTAAATATATACGCAGTTGTATATATGGAATCTTTATATCAAATGTCGACAGGAAATTGTCTTTTTTTTCTTCTTAAAGTGACTTGTTCAAGTTTGCGGATGATATTTCCCTAAAATTGAATTTCATACGGTTTATGTTTATTTATAAACTAAATAGATTTAGAAATAGAGGTCTATACTTCAATTTGAGCCTACGACATGGCCAATTCTGTTAATAGGTTATCATATGCGGACAGTTAACCTTAAGTTTACGTTAATATATCTTAAAAGAATTATGTTACATAAACGATAATTTTAATAGTATCGTCATATTTTGCTCTCAAGTTGAAGTAAATAAGCTTTATATTGCAAAAGATTTACTATTATTTTGGTAATTCACCAATAGTTTACACTGAAAAATGTTCAGGGTATAATTTAAAATTGCCTAAAATATAAAAATGAATAGAATTTATGGCCAATATTACAATATGATCTGACTTGGACCATGTATGAGAGATGAATATGTTTTCTGCTCACCAAAACAGTATAGAAATCATATATCTTATATTTTTAACTACAAAGTTTAGCTTTTGATAACTAATAAAACATATAAATGAAAATAAATTGCACACATTTTCTTTATATGTAGCAATGATGGTAATTGATGACAGATTTAAACTCGCAAGTGCATTTATTGTCTATAATCGTACTTACGTTTGGTCTTTAAAAGAAAATAATTACATATCTATACGACTGACAGTTCTTGAGGAGAAAATGGATAGCATAGTTCGAGAAACGATGTCAACATAAATAAAGCTCAAGACAAAGTACAAGATACAGAGGAATCATTGAAGAGAGATTTCTTTTCGTGAATTATGGACCACAATTGTTGATTTGTAGACTTGCTTTGTGGGAATATACTCTCGGACCGTAAACTCTTCCCATCAATATTGTTAAAAGAATGACAATCTGACTAAGGATCCAGCCCAAGACTTCTTAATAAGTCATATATTGTGAACAGTTTGGAACAGTCTCTTTTTTCTCCATCTTTGTGTAAATTACATACCACATTATTCGAACATTTTAGCTAGTATGAATTACTAGTATAACTTAAGATTTTTTCAGTCAAGTACATTTAATTTTATTTCAGACTAGTATATCAAATGATACTCAAATGATATGTCTATCAGTCAGACTTGGTACAATTTTTTTTGATATATTCGGATTACTTCCATTTTTATAGTATAAATTATCACTGAAAGATGTAACTAAATATGTATCGTTTTACTCCGTATGGCGATTAAAGTAACATTTGATACTGAATTGTTAGTCATCTTTTTAATTCGCCGACAGTTCACATGGTATTTCATAAAACGACAACAGGGCGAGAACAAAGTGAAGATCGATCTTATAATGAAAAACCAAGGTTATGTACCTAGAGTAACAAATATATTTCTCAAAGATAAAAGAGTAAGAAACTTTGATATATTTATTTCTTTACATAATAAGTCCAAATGCATATTTTAAAACATAATAATGTATTAAACCGCTAAATGGTTATTTATGGTCGTATCAAAGAAGGGGTCACAATGTAGAAACACAATCATGACGGTGTTGTCAAACTAAATGCTTTACTAATATTTTCAAATCTCTGCGTACAGTCGAAGATAAAACTATACTCGTACCTGTGAATGAGATCGAATGGTAGAAATTTACTTTGTTACAACAATCTTAACTATAGTTAAAGTATAAACAGTATCATAATGAGTATTATGCAGGCAAAACTACAATTAAACGTCACATTTAAGACACAAATATCTTATGATGTTAGATATGTATATCGATGGTCTTCACTTAGTGGATTACCGCCTGAAAATCCTGGGCTCTGCTGGATATACTCGTCTCGCCTCTCAATTAACCGCACCTATAACACGGTCTGGGTGCGTTTTTGCCCGGGCATAGATGTCGAAAACGTAACACCTGAAAAAAACCACAGGGGATTAAAATAAAGAGATAAGTGGCGATACCTTAAAACAGTCACTAGGTGCATTTTGTCTCACACTCTGCACTTCTTGGTTCAGGTTTTTTGTTTTATTTACCTTTTGCAAAAAGGGTTGTGTAGTCATGCTGTTATCTATCCAGGAGGACTACAAACGAACGTAATTGCTATAGTATTTTTCACCGTTAATACTCCCAGCGGTGGGCACTAGCAGGGTTAATATGAGTCATACTGGCGACTGTTACATCTCAACAGACCTGTTTAGAAGGATAGCACAGAGTTTAGTGGCGATCTGGTTTTTCTGCGTGCTTTGGAGTAGAAATAACCGATCCCGGAATATTAAGTCTAATTATCGTGCCTTACACATCCAAAGATATGGTTGTTTTTATGGTTAGATAGAAAACGAAATGGTTGTCCTGTCTGTTGAGATCGTGTTATGTGTCTTCTTTCCGAAAAGTTGATTTTTGTTATATACTGTAGGACAGGGCTCTATCATTGCCATTTAACGCCAGAAATCTGCAGAATTTTCAGTTGTACATTGTCACTTCTGATGTTAACTTCGGAGTTATAGGAATACCTGTAGTGTTTTCGATGCACTTCAAACTTAATAGGCTTTATGTTATGAATTAAGACGAAAATATTGTCAGAGTACTAGGTATAAAATGAGATTAACGGAATCGTTATGAACACTTATGACGCGGATGTTCATAATATATTTCACAGAAATTTTCACCATTTTCGTGTTAAATGTTGAATTCTGCTTCAGCCGGTGCTATGGGGCGTGGACGGTAACTTGCACATTCCAGTTCCGTCCATGAACAGGCTCAAATACTAAATAATACTAAATAATGTTACGCTCCATAAATCAAATTTTCCAGATAATAAATTGTTCAATTCTAAGTTTGAAAAACGAGGTTTACATATTGTTACGAAATCATTTCACTTTTGTGAAAAGCTTTGTTTATTCACTTTTTTCGCTTAAAAGTCAACCATTTCTCTATGCTGGTACAATGAACAAGTCAAGTCCAAGTGAAAGCAGGATTATATTTATTGCAGTAAATCAAAATAATGCATCATTTTATTCTCTATCAACAGTCAAAACCAAAGTAAAATCCTTAACAACTTCAACAAATACATTTCTGCAATTACTAACTAACTCAACTCAACCAACTCCAACTCACTCCAAAACTCCTCAAAAACTCCAAAACTAACTCAGCTAGAAAAGTTCCCAGCTTATATACCCTAATGTTTGCGCAGCTAGGGTGGTGTGCAAAAGTAGACTGTTGCGCGACCTCTTATTGCGCGACCTCTCCAGTTTTGCACACAACTCATTGCGCGACCTGAATGTTGCGCGACCTTTTAAAATGCTGACAATGCCTTAACAATGTTCAAAATGGCCTGCAACTGGTTCAGGTATACAGACTGTTGTACAATACAAACATTAGTACAAAAATACATAATAGTTATATAAATTTACATGTTTGAACACTCAATAGGATAATAATTATCTGTCCAATAATGCATCTTAATAGTGCAAAATATACTTGCAGTAATAAAGATATATGTACTATATATGGCTTATAAGACCAATACACTTACTACTGATTGACATTTCTATAAACTTATAATACTGACTGATAATTCATTAAACAACAGAAATATAATCTCTCCAGCTTTACAACATACAGCTCAACATTTGAACCAAGTAACCTGTACATAGATAAAGCTGTGAGTAAGGAATCCCATTCATAAAATCTGATATGACCAAATTATGCTTTGTTAACAACAATTGAGATGCTGAAGGGCTAAAAATAACTTAAACCTTGTACTTTTAGACTGCGCGACCTCTTATTGCGCGACCTCTCCATATTTGGAACTAGCATGCCTGGGAAAGCTGATTCTGCGCGACCTTTCCTATTGCGCGACCTTAAGTGTCGCGCGACCTTTGTCTGCGCGACCTTTCCAAATTTGGAATGAGGTATGATCATAATCTAAAAATAACTGAGCTGTGCCAATATTCTGGACTGTTAATGACTCAATTGTTTTACAACAAAAATGAGTAAAAGTTAACATAAACATTTTAACCAGCTTAGAAATATTGTCCAGATTTACCATCCTAAAAGAATACTCTTCTAGTAAAAGATTAGTTTCAAATTTCATAACACTCTCCCACCTTTGGACTTTGCTTACTCCGGAAGCAAAACCAATTAATTTACACATGTTAAGTTTTTAAATTTGAAGCAAACCTTGAAAACTCTTGTTAAGTGAAATTGAAATAAAAATCAAATAATAATAAAAGAATAATATTGGTACTAAACAATACATGTGAAAAACTACTAAGTGTTATATGATATTATGCAGATTAAACATAAGCAAAACTAAACAAATTAACAAATAGGCATTACGGATTTTTATGAAATATAAAACATAAGTATTCTACTGTTCAATTGATAAAATCCCATAACAATTTTTCCCTGTCTCTTCAATTTAATTCACAATCTCCAACACACTTTTGTTAAGTTCAGTAAGACATTTTAGAAAGTCACTCATTGCTTGTTTTTTTTCTGTTTGAATATGTTTAATTTCTTTTTGTATGTGTGAAGTTAAAGTTCTTTGATAGTCTTGAATGCTAGCTGCACTATAGTTTAATTCATAGTTTCACAGAAGATGACATTTTATACCAGTAAAAGTTCATTTTAATTTTGCCAGTGTTTTCTTGACCCCTAAATGTCCAGATAGAATAGCATTATGTGAAGCTTTAATAACTTGATTACGTAAAAGTGATGGTAACACAAGTTGATCATAACTGGTAACATTATCTGTTTGAATAAACTTCCTAAACAAAATTCCATCTTTAAGATACAACTGAGACCACTGCAACCATAAACTTCTTGTCGCTGGGCTT